ATTGATCGATGCTGCTTAAACGCCAAGGTGTAGAACGACTTCCAAGGTAAAAAGAAAACGTGATTTCGTAGATTAAGCCGACACTCTCGCGTAATCCCTTCAATGAGAGACACTCGAGAGTTTTCCAATATATAAAAATTATAAAAAAAAAGACATTCGCATTTGCATTATCCAGACGTAAATTAAATATATACGCGCGATGTCGTCCACGTCCATCGTGAGCGCATAATATTTTAATAATGTATTAAATTAGAGACGAAAATTTTGATGCAAAATGTAGCGATAACTTTTTATTCAATCGTTCATAAAGAACGATCCCCCGTTTTGTAAAACTATAATGAGACGACAAACGCAAATAAGGCTGCCTTTATTTATCACTGTGGAATGTATAACGGCTTGAAGGGCCTACTTTAGATGATTTATAATTCCCGTCGGATTTCAAGAAAGAATTATATTTATAACAATTTTATACGTCATTCTTGTTGACATGTATGTATTTCGATACATATTATACATGTGCATATATCTTCTTCAAATGTTTCTCGTGTAACACGGCATATAAAATCATAAATAGAATTCCATCCTGCAGTCTGACACGAATTACAAATCGTCTAAAGCTTTATTAAATAAATTCGCACCGAGTATTCTCGTTGGACTTTAAATCTAAAGTTTATTTGAAGATTAAAGTTTACCTTACTGTAATCGAAACAGTTAGTTGAATATATATTAATTCATTATTGTTACTTTCGGTATTATGAAACTATATTTTATGTGCTCCGAAACCTATATTTTTACATTCTAAGAGGAATAAAATTATGTAAATTTAATAAATCAAGAATTTTTTGTGACTTTCTGATAACCAGGAAAATGAAATTCAATCGTTGCGAGAATAAACGTGGCGATTCATTTATTTTCCTTAATTCATTAAAACCACACAATTTTATTCCTCTCGAGACGTAAAAATTTGAAAGAGAAAGATGATATAAATATTATATTATTTTTTAATCTCAAAACAGAGATAAACTTTATTCTTAAAAATTAAATGCTGAACAAAGGATTTAAATGGCACAATTAATCAATTATTAAGTTAATCTTTTAAGCGGCATAATTAATCAATCATTTTAATTTTTTATTCATGAAACAGATTATTGAATAATTTGCATCTCATAATTTTGCTATTAGTAATTTATTTGCTTGTATCATTCGATTGTTGTCTGTGTACGACTATATAATGCATGTAATAGCTGTATGTAAGAAAGCAAAATCATCTGAGCTGTGAAAATCGATAACAGATCGGCACGTAGTGTAATTACAGCGCGCGAACTTTACGTGATATCGAAGCCAACTTTGATTGCATAACTCTATAACTATTATGAACCCAGCATTTTTATATTAAAATTTTCGTCTCTAATGTCTATATAGAGCACATTATTAAAGTATTGTACAGCCGTATACGTGTGTGTATACGACTCTATAACTTATAACATTTATCAAAACTTTGCATCTATACTCGCAAGTTAAATTTGCGAGTCAATTAAATAAACAAGCTAAAAAAATTACGATAAATGTCCGTGTGTCATTGTCAGTTACAGTTAAATAAAAATTCCGAAATACACATATATGCATATACAATATAAACTTTTTGAAATACATAAATCGAATGTATATACTCCGTTAGATTCAAATTTAATTTGTTCTAAAATTACGCTGATGAAATTTATCAACAATACAATATTCATTTATCTCAATTGGTGTCAAATGTCAACGTGTCTTTATTTCGCGAGCTCCCATCATATATCGGGGCACTATGTGGCAGCATCATAACGCTTGACTCATCATTCATGCACATTAATTGTTCTCGAGAGATTCATTTTCGTAAAATCATACAACGCAATCTAAGAGAAACCATTTTAATCTCTTCTATTGATAAATTCTCTCTATATCGATAATGGCTCCCAACGCTATACGAAATGCTGCATAATTCATCACAGCATCCTGACTAGAGGACGATGTTGTAACATTCACGAAATTCATCATCACCCTCCCAACATCGTGCAAAGTACGGAATTTAGAAAGAGTAATATATTCGATATAAAGTGTAATATATTCAACACACAAGAAACTCATCAAATTATAAATTGCAATTAATCAAGAAAGTAATAAAGAATAATAACATTTTCGTTATGATAACAGAAGTTAAATTAAATTCACGTTAAATTTATGTTTCCACTTTTTTTATAAAACAAATAAAAATCTACTTTTCTAGATAAAAATTTCTATTGTCATTCTAAACGCAATATATTCCGAATAACGAGGACGATAAGCGATACAAAATGATGGTTAATTTCATACAATAATATAATTTTGATTGTAAAATTATACGCACAATTTGCTTCAATAATCATAATCGTAAATAAAATTTTATGTTATGTCATTAAGGTGAATCAGGCAGATGAAACGTACTAGAAATCTATTTTAATCTCATTCGGGAGCAATTTAATCTAGATTAGGAATCCCGCTTTATCGATAAGAATCTCGATTGCTACTATGGAGGCTACTAGGTACGTTATATCGCCGCGACAAGCCGAAAGGATGATACGTAACACATGGGGATCCTAGGCCGGTTCATAGATAGTAATCGGGATGAAAGCACGGTTCACGTGCGCTCATCCTCCGCATCGAGGGTTCTCGCAGCCCGACTATAATCGTAGAAGCGGCCGCTCGGCTGTACAGATATTACGCTCTCGAACGGTCCAGCGATTTCGATGTACGCGAGGACCAAACAACGATGACATACACGACCTTCCACGGTATGATCGATCGCGGCCGATTTCTCCTCAAATATACGGGAGATTGATCGCTCGGTCAAGCAACGGGGCAGAAAATGTCGACCGAGAAAGGGAATGTAATGGAGCGAAACTGATCTGATTTTAAACTTCTTCCATTACTCCAATTTCATGCGGTCGGAGAAGTCGAATTTCGCGTGCTACGATCTTGCACGTTCTCTCCTTCGTTCTTTTTTTCTCTCTCTTTCCCTCCCTCTCTCTCTATCTCTCTCGGTCTCTCAGCGCGAAATCCCGCATCTTTCGCTTTTAATCTCGACTTCACGTACGTTAATCATTTAACCGTTAAGTGCATGCCTTAATGCATAAGGTGATTGAATTTTCCCGCATGTAGAATACAGCGATATTCTTCGTTGGAAATTGGAGCAATTTTTCCCCCGAACAAGAATTCAATTTGGCGATATATTCCTCGGGAGGATTTTTGCGCGTTCAACGTTAAACGTTTAATTAATTATGCTTTGAGTTGAAATTCTGCTAAAGTAAGGTCCGTTCCGAATCCATGAAAAATATATTCCGTTTTACTCTCCATACTTCATATGCCGCGTTCAAAGCACGACTTTGCATTACTGTATAATTCCAATCGTTTATTCGACTTAAACTTTTAACTAACGAGATTCTTTATAAGGCTAAAGTACCGCGATCAAAGGGAAGGAAATGTAATCAAGTATAATATCCGTTAAGTAATCATACCGATTCGCCTAAACATCTCTCAGATTCGTGCAAACACGTTCTACATTTCACTGTGATTATATTTAAAATACGCCCGAACTCCGACTGGGACTTAAGAAAGTTTAAATTGCATGCAATTGAAACCTTTCTCTAGAAACTGATAACCGTTTCTAGTCTTTTTGAAGACGCTGATTTCTTTCATATATCACGAGAAATTGATCAACGTCCGAGCAGAGGAAGAGTATGTGGGTGTGTGTTTGTGTGTACATGTGTGTGTACGGGTACGAATATCGATCCACAAGGGGTGAAGCGAAGTATAACGACACGAGCCATCAAGCATCGGAGAGTATGCGACGGGACCTGACCGACTTTGCACCTCGTTAAAATTGCATTAGATAGACGCGAGGGAAAAAGACGTCGCCGTCTGAGAATATGCACTGCGTTGAAAAATGTAAGCAAGGTGCTGGATAATAGCAACGCCGCGACACTCGGATTACACCTTAAGGCTGATCTCGCGAAGTTGCAACGGGGGACGAAGCTACCTATACGGGATGAGGACAACATTGTTTGCCCGCTGAATTATGCAGCGTCATATTCCCGGTCGAAAGAATGAGAGAAGTTAACCTGTTCGTTAAAAGTCACCGCGATGATTCGGGCGAGAATATCTTACTGGTAGACGTACTCGAGGAAGCGAGAAATGTTTGATGTCTTCCCCGAGCTACTCGCCGTTCTGCGCTTTCTCCTTGTGTATTTGTAGAATGTTATTGATCAATCCCGATTCCGTTCAATTACGGATTCAATTACGAAATATTCCATGTCATTATTTTAAGATATTTTAAGATCAGTAAAAAAAATTTACATAAGTCATGAGAGATTTTAAATTGGAATCGCAACCGAGATTAGCGAACGCTAAACTAAAAAAGATTTTCGCGGGCAAAAAGGTTCGCGCCAACGTATGGTCACGACTTTTTCAAATAAATTAATTATTGACCGAGGTCGGCGCCGCTAATGCAATACGCGGTAATATAATTTGGGCGTTAAACTCGACGAGTTTAAATTCGATACATCACGGATGTCCGGCTAAGCTTATTTATTACATAATACCTACGGGATAATTAAACTGTTGTTCCACAGCGATATGAAACCGTATTATAAATTGATTAACGATATTCAACGATCCCTCCTCGAGGCGTATTACGCGCGGAAATATAAATGTTGGACTGGATGTATTTACATGCACGCGCAAAATTGCAATTTTGCTCGCGGTGAACCGACGATATGCTCGGTGAACACGAACGTGCTGCATGTTGGCCAGTATTTTCGGGCATTTAACGTTAACGTGTAACTATCTGATGCACGTCCCACACTTCGCATCCTATTACGATTTTCAATGAGGAAATAAACAAACTTTCCCACAATTGTTAATGTAAAAAACGCGCACACCCGCATGGCGGGGTCGTAGTTTGCTGAATAACTGATCGAACATACCTGCACTCCTACTCCTGTTAGGCCTGATCCTTCCTCTCACGATTCGCAGACAGCATCCGCAGCGAGGAACACGTAGATCTCGCGTTATCCCCGAGCAATATGCATAATAAAGGGACAGCCGCTTTTTCCTCACGTGGCACATTTGACTATCGTAACGTGTATCTTGTCTATTTGAGCACGCGGTGAAACGTTTTCAAAAAAGTTTCGATTCACACACGCGCGAGTCGACTCCCGTATTTTCTGTCGCAAAAAAAAACCGAAACGTGTGAAAAATAATGCGAACGCCGTCGATCCGTAAGAAGCAAATACGAAGATACGATGGATTAATTAGCAAAATGTTAAAAAAAGCACGTTAGAAAAGACTCGAAATACCTAACATGTAACTTTACAAATCGTGACTGACAAGTTTCGAAATCGAAAACAGAAAAGCCAGCGTTGCGCTTTCGGAGTTTTAAAACGGCACAAACAAGCCGATCAGCTAAAGATTTGTTTACGTTGGCGATCTGAAAATCTGATTACACGAATAACAAGAATGATACCAGCGTTGTTTTTGGCTCGCATTGATATTTGCACTCCTATTAATTTTAAATCAATAAGCCGCGTTGCGCGCGTATGGATTTTACTATTTTCATTTTTCCAACATATAATATTCAAATATAAAGGCTGTTGAAAGCTATTGCAAACAAATCGTACATTTTGAGTCTTTTCTAATTTGCAAATATTGTCATAACAAATCCTTCTTAAATTTTGCGTTTTAATCCAAAATCCAAACTTTGCATAGTGCTAATAAAAGAAAATCGTAACTTTGGCGCATAAAACGATCTCTTGGTATCCAAGTTAATTTTACTTGGCAAAATCGTGTTTCCCCTCGAAATAGCCACGTCAGAAGGAACATTCGCAAAGAACATAAACACATAGATGGCGCAAATGCGATGGAAGTCACGGCCGTAATGAAAATAGCAAGCACGTTGACTGCACATGCATATATATATATATATCGTGTCGAAAAATATATGTCGTGGATACATGGGAAAAAAAATGTTCCAGTTGCCACAAGCCCGATAAATCAATCCCCGAGCTTTAAGCGCATTCCGATTGGACATGCGGCGATTCGGCGAAATAATGATTATTGGAAATATCGGGAAAGGCAACGACACCGAGTTATCGCAAGGAACTCCATTAAGAACATACGCTTTGAGATTCATTTTTATTCCGAAATTCATTTGCTCCAGCGGAAGTTTTACGGATGATTTATGAGCATGTTTCGTAAATGCAGTAATAACTTATGCATGTGCAGGACGCGGCAACTGGGAACGCGGGTTAATAATTCTTTATAAAAGAGCATAATGCAAAATAGCAAACTAAAATTCTTCCTGGAATATAATTATAATTTTCCCCGGACATGCATTTACATAGAATCGATTAATTTTTGGTATTGGTAAAAAGAATATAAATGTTATCTTCATCGCAAATATCTATGTAGCATTGTTAGTGTCTCTAAATTTTATTCCCTTTATTCGAATCGGAAATGGATAGTCTCGTAAAAGTCATAATAAACTCCGTTACGCGAGAAATAAAGTGTCATTGTCAAATCGAAGATAGAAACACACGCGTATACAAAGAAAGAACTCTCTGCACTACGTGCGCGGCATTAAGATGTTCTGTCACGCAGTCGTAAAACCTTAGCTGTGAGAGTGATCGCCGATTCTGCGTTACGTAAGTGTAAGTACTCGCTTGTCCTGGCAATAATGGTGCACAAGGATCGATTGAGCAACAAGTGAAGAACGCAAGAATTTGTACGAGGTATCTGTTAACGACGTGCTTGCACATTACTTTCGCGTGAGCTTATCCTTAACGAGCTAATCTGATAGTCGCGAAGAAGGAAACACATAAAAAATAATGGAGAAATTTATATTTTCCTTCCTGTGTCTAATACTCGTTTAATTCTTCGATGTATATAAAAATAATGCAAATAGTACTTATTTTTCATATATTACTCTACTTCTAAACGTAATTCTATGCGCTAGTTTAAAAACCACAAAGTTGAAAAACTAATATTTCTTAAAAAATAAATATTAATAATAGTTAAACAAAATAACAGCTGTCTTTCTATTTACATCTCTCTCGCAGCTCGTTAAATATATTCAATGACGATGATAGTTACATAATAATTAATCAATTTTGAGATATATTGACGAGAGATCTGATTTTCATTCTACGAATAACTTTTCGTTATTTCAAAGCGCCAATGTAATTACGCGCTTTTATTATAGAAATTCCAATTTTTACGTCAGGCGGGAACAAAGAGGAAGAAGCAGCCGTTTGACAATAGATATTACTCGTTAATATATTTTCCGGCGAACAAGAAAGATTGCGTCGGAACTGAAAGGGGCTTTTTTCGTGCCGCGGGTGCACGAAAGAGCAAAAGGGAGATTATATTGATCCAAGTTACGAGCTGCTTATCCCAAGCCTGCCCCGGAGTCATTCACGTATATACTTGTAATTCTCGTAACGGTGGAACGTTACGTACACATTATTAAATATTTTTGCTGCTAATATTCTCGCGACTATACATCAAGTATAAACAAAATTAATATTAATTTTTTTAAGAAAAATGATAATTATATCTTTGCGCTTCTTAAATTAAAGCCCGTTTCAGACATTCTATAATTTGTTAGATTTTAGAATTCTACTTATAATTTCAAACGTGTATAAATTAATATTCGACATGCGTATTTTAATTTATACTTATACATGTGAGTGTATTTCACTCTTCTAATATTTTTCAAATTAGAGTAAAATCATAAATGAAATTCTACCCCGAGTTCTCTGACAAATTATACATATCGTCTAAAATAAGTTTAACAATAAAGTTATAATTAGTACAATGATATATGAAAAATGTTATACGTGAGCACAATGCGAAATAAATTTTCAGATTGATTTTGAAACTAATTATGCACTGTGATTAAATTAAGATTATTGAGATAACGCTAAAAGCCATAATTGGCATACATGAAATTTCTACTGTTCGAAATCAATACTGCGATGATTATTAAATTGTACAGAGTTTAACACAATCTCGTGTCTTTATTTAATGAGTTCTGCAATTATATATAAACACGATCCAGTCGGGCGTCCGCTAATTGAGCCAAGTAGGGAATTAAAACATCGTTCTATACGATACTGATAAAAAGTTTGTAAGGAAATGATTATTCGCTTGCATCTGGAGACTTTTGAAAACCCTTAAAAATTAAAAAAACATCTAGCTTGGCGACTCAGCTATCTTCTTAATTAAAAAATGTTAAAAGATCAACCGTCGCTATTTTGCTATTACGTTTCCTCAAATATTTATCGCACTGACACTCACGCGACAAAAACCTGTGTATGTGGATGTACATGACGTGTAACTGTATGCAAATATCCGCAGCGTATTGAGCGCGGATCCATGAGCTAAGCCCCAAATGACTGTGCGGATCAGTCATCCCTACGGGCGCGATTCAGAGCTAATAAACAGAAGCGCACTAGCAGCCTGCAGTTTTGCCGGTTTAATTATTAAACGATTGTTTGCGACGATAACGTAGCTCGTTCCGCGCACAATGCCTGTAATCGCCGGATCATTACAGCATTGTGGCGCGGGGTGCAGCGGGTTAATCAATTTCTTATCGTGGCGTTGACCGCGGTTGGAAGAAGCGCGCGTTAACCGTCATCGCGCAATCCTGCCGTGCCCGAGCACAACTGGATGAATTTTCGTTTAACGTGAGAGTATATAACGAAGAATAGGATATAACTAAACTGGAGCGAGAATAGAACGAGGTTGGCACTTTACGAGGCGTTTCATGGCATCCGTGATAAAAACGTCGCTCGCCGCGACGTTACATATACCGTAACGTTATTGATCTTTGTTTACAGTAAAAGAGCGACGTCGCGAGAAGTTGTAAAAAAGCCTCGCTCCACTTGAGCGCGCGAAACAACGTCGATCTTCCGACTTTGAGATTAGCTGGTAAGAGTACCGTCGAAGTTTGACGGGAGAAAAAAGTAAATGAAAAGCTTTTGCTATCGAAAAGCTGCTGTTGCTTTCTGATGATGTAATTGATACATTCTCTGATACAACGGAACTATTACGCAGAAAATTCTAAAATTTGCGTTTACGTCCTCTATATAAGCTATTTTTAAATCCTATTGAATTTAACTGAATTAAATATCAGCAATCTTTAGAAATGTAGATCACGAGAAGCTTTTAATCTTTAATTGTTCAATCGTTTCAAAAGCTATTGACTACGCTGATATCTTATTAATTGAACGAAGCTTGGGCAAGAATTTTTTTGATCAATCTGTCTATATTACAAAACAAGCTTACCGAAATATAATGTTTAAATAACCAAAATATATGGGACCATTTTATCACGAATATTAATTTCGAAATTTCTCACTGCTTTTTAGAATCTCTGACTTTAATTAAGTCCTGTTTTAATTATAGTAATGTATATTGCTTTGCTTTAATGAAGACCAACATGCCAGACATCGCCAGCCCTAATTAGAATTTAACGCAGACACGCGCGGCTTAAATATATCCCCAGCGAAGATATTAAACAGCTACGCTTTTTTAAATGCATATAGAAAAAACCGAGTACAGCACAACAAAACGTGCGGCATCAAGTGGTGCAGCTTTTAAATTGCTCCGCTTTCGACGAGAGTCGTATTACCGCCGTACCGCCCGCGAGAAGTACACGTTGTAATAGTTGAAAAATGCACGCGGCAAAGGGGTTAATCAGCAATTTCTCTCGCACAAAAGTTACGCTTTCAAATCAGCTTATAACTTGAGTTTGTCTGCAACTCTTTAACATCGGCCATTACGGGCCCGCTTGAAAATGGAAACCTCATCAAATTCCTTAGGAAACTCTGTTGCTATTTTTCGCGATAAAAACGTAAATTAAAAACTCCCCGTTATATCAGCCGTAAAGAAACATCGATGTTACCTAAAATACATGCTTGCGAAAACCATTTTCAATCATTTACGTTGAATTCGCTCCATTGTAAATGTTTTATGTTATCTGCAATCAGAGAATGCAAAGTTTTATTCATACATTCGAACATTGTTTGATTCGGTGATGAAATTTGTCTCGCCTTTATCGAACGAACAAAGCACAAAACATGACGGCAGCGGCGGCGGTGGCGGCCGGGTCGACTGCGAAGTGCAAACTATCGGGGATACTGATCTCCATTGTTGCAACTATATAACGCACAACGCCTGGTTAACGATATTGACCCTCTTACGAAACGTTTGTTTTAGAACGTAACGATTACGCTGCCATAAAACAACGACCGATCTAACAATGATTTAATTGTGCTTGGATTTGACAGCGCGCACCGTTTGAGATACATTTCGCGCGAACAGCGAGAGTGCGAAAAGGCGTACGAAAACATCGAGCCTCTAAAAATCCGATCTAAAACAATTCCCGCTTTGTCTTTTGAGATGCAAATGGCAGACAGGTCGAAAGCGAGAAGTTTTCTCAAAAGCGTCACGTACTCGTGATTTAATTCCGAACATGACGACTTTTTTCGGTGTTTTAATGTATTTTTTCCTGGAATTTTCGCAAGACGCACGCCGGTAAATCGTTTCCTTTATGAAAATAACGAAAAAGAAAAAAGTGCCGATGTAAAAATCACTTATTTACAGGAAAGTGTATTACAAAGAGGGGTCTTTGTAATATCCCCGTTCAATATCCTCTGGGGCATTTTTTCTTAAGGAAAACAATCTCGTATTAATTTTGGTGCACTATACCGATAATTCCACATCCAATATACTGTTTGACAAACGTCGAGATATTAATAGTGAAATTTCAAACATTTTGTTCTCAGCAAAATCGTTCGATATAAACTTGTATATTATATTATCTTAAACAATATCGCAGATAAAAAGAAATTTTTAAAGAGAGATTGAAATTATATCTAAATAAATATTACATTAAAATAGTAATATCCATCAAATGAAGTTTATTCTACAAAGTCTGCAACATACAATAAAAGCGCGTTTTAATATCGCTGCTTTTATAAAGTTTCGAGTGAGTATACTTGAAATATTTATACATTGTTGCTGAAAAAAAAAACCGAACGCAGTATAACCGGCTAATAATTCACTCTGGACTTTCTCTCGCGCGCGATAAATTCGTTAACGTACACAACGCGCGGCGATGCGTCGCGACGCATTAACTGCACCGAGCTTTTTTTAGAGCTACGCGTATAATACTGCACATTTCGTTGGACGCGCGTCGATAGTATAACTAACGAGCTCCGGATTTTTGCCGCGATGACCATTGACCGCGTAAAAATTCGGGAGATAAATTTCACTCGTCCCTGCGCCTAAAAAAAAAAAAAACTTCGAAATATTTCGAACAAACATACACCGCCGTGCGCGAATCGCAATGAAAATTTATGACAATTTACCGACGCATAATTATTTATGACGCATAAATTGTGCGGCCGATTATCCCGAATTCGATATTATAAGAGATAAAACTTGATGAAGAAGATAGTATCTGAAACGCCTGATTAAAATATTATTAATTTATTCGTGAAATTTAATTATCGATATTCTTCGACGCTGAAACTGTTTATGGAAGCTCGTGGCATTTTCATAATCAATTCAACAATTTATAATCCTTTTTTCGTAGTACGAATAAAAAAACTTTAATGCTATGCCAGAAAATTTCTTTAATATTAATTTATCACAACCTTGGAACTTTCACATCGTCATTTAACTAGCAATTAGAATGCTTTTTTTATACTTTTGCTGCCCAATTTTGTTTCTCTTTCACGGTATTATTTAGCGCGACGTCAAAACTGGTATGCTTGCTTTATATAGGGATATAGGCCAACCATCGATTCGACAAATTACTTACGCTCTATACTTCATACCCTCGCATTCATTTTTTTTATATTATACAGTTTATACGTTATATTTAAAAATATATATAACAGATAAATAAACAATTTAAAGTCCGAGAGAAAACGCATAAAAATCATTACTAAATAATTACTGAAATGAAAAATTTACTGGAAAAATAAAGCAAGGGTAGAAATAGCAATCAATGTACGAGAATATTAAGGTTCTAATAGAATATTAATAAAAACATTGCAGTAGTAAAATAAAAGTAGTAATAGAAATGGCATTAAGGGCGGTGTATAACACTATCATTGATTAATATTATTATTAAGATATTTATAGAACTTGCACAATTAAAATGTAAAGCTAAGATCGTCATCCTGCCATGTTCGTCGTAACTTTTCATAATCTATGCATACGCGGGAGTGATATTACGGGACGGATTAATTTATGAACGGCGTGGTCCCATCACGTGTACCCGGGTCGACGTTGACGGCGAAATAATTTCACCGGCACGCGTGCCGACGAATTTTGCGACCGGAGAGGTTTGCGCCCGCGGTCTCTCTCTCGTCCCGGACCAAGGGGAGAGCTGGCATTTAATTTCGCGCGTCGACGTCGACGCGCGGCGTCATCCGCGCGCCACCGGCCACGGGTCCCAGTCCCAGGGCATGAATAATACGCGGTCGCATCGCGGTCTAGAATAATTTCACATTGAATTCAAATCCGGGATCGATGAGAGGCCTACTCCCGCCGACGATCTAACCCAGTTTCGCCTACGAGGCGTGTACGGGGCCACGGGCGCGCTTGCCGCGTCTCTCGGCTTCTATACGGAGTAGAGCCGCGGCGAGTCGATAAAAACGCAATTTTGCGCCACCGTTCGTTTTGCATGCTACCCCGGCTCGCGAGGAAAGCGTAACGGTGACGTGGAGGAAACTGAGGAAATTTATTCCAAGTCCTCGAACACGTAAACATCCGCGATGCGAGGGCGAGCGAATCAATTCCGCCGATTGACCGCGACGTGGCAACTTCCTTCATTCGCGATCCATCGAATAATATTATATATAACAACTGTGGATCACATATTATCTCTTCCGACGTGACTTATCGATAGATAATATTTCGTCGCGAATTTACCGCGACTCGCCGAATAATTCATTTGTTCTCCACACTTCTTCTCTTTATCACTTTTTTAAAAAACGAAAAATCGACCCTGTGAGCAAATTTCGCAAAAATGATACAGATAAGCCGATACGAAGTACACCGCAATGCTTCTCACGGAAGACGAGCACGCACCACGTGAGCTATCGCAGGACGACGTCGGCATTGTTCCATTGTTCACTCACCTCCCCGTGCGTAACAACCCCCGCACGAAGGTAACCCTTTTACGAGGGCACGCGCGCGGCGCGGCGCGTCGCGAGGTTGATTAACGAGGGCATCGCGTGAAAGTGCGGCGCGGCGCGCCGAACGCGGCGAGAGTTCGCATGTCGCCTCGAGGAAACGTGATCCCGACACGCGTATCTCTCCCTTCCTCCCTCCCTCCCTCCTTTCCCCGCGAAACGCAGATTAATCAGGGGGTGGCAACCCCCGTCTTCAGCGTTCGACGAAACGGGAAAAGTCGGCGAGAGGCTTCCGGACGACGGCGAGCGCGCTGACGCGGGACGCACGCGGGGAGCGCACTGCGAAAATCGCGAGAAACTCACGGGGATGGAAAAATAGGGAGGGCACACTCGCGTGCTGCGCGGCACACCACACTCCGCGCGTACCTGGGCGAGCGAACGAACGAGCAGGCAGGCGAGCGGGCGGGCGGGCGGATACGGTGTGATTACGCGCGTGGATGCGCGGGTGCGTACGAGGGTGCGTGTCCGCCGCGTGATAAGAGGCGCGTAGGTGAATCCGCCCCGCGACCATCGGCCGACGAAGGTTCGTCGAAGACTGGTCGGCCGCAGGGTGGGAGGGCTCTTTTTCAAAGGCGGCGTTTTCTCGACGACGACGACGACGGCGGCGGCGTCGACGGCGGTGGCGGCGAAGCTTTCCGGATGGAGGGTAACGGGCATGCGTGTGACGGATGGCACGATCGGCACCGCAGCAACACGACCGTGTGCACAAGGGTGTGCCGCGGGTGAAACGCGTGATAGCGGAAAAGCTTGCGGTCGCTCCGCTCGCTTTGCGCGATGACGACGACGACGACGTCCGCGCGTGTTTCCCTCGCCTAGAATATGCGGTTTACAACGACAATGTAGATTAGACTGCCTGTGGAGCTTATGATTCTCTTTCTGCTCTCTCTACCTCACTATTTCTCCCTCTCTCATTTTTTCTCCCCAGGAGCAATCAGGGAATCGCGTTTCGCTCTCGCCGGGCTAAAAGGGGATCGCGTTTCGCCGGTGGGTTCATGCATTAACAGCGAATTTCCGCCGAGATTTGCAAACTCGATAACGGCACGTTATAACGGTAAAAAGTTGTAACTGATACGACTGCTCGGGACTTTCCGCTGGAATAGAGGAACGTAGAGATCTAAAATGCATTGTGCAATAATGGAACATATTCTTTGACTTAACAAAAAAAAGGAAGTAGATTTTCCACCCTTAGTTCTACTGCGAAATGTCGGTTCAACCGCACTGCGGTAAAAGCGAAGTTATTGGATCACCTGATATCTCGCCCACTCCCGGATCATCCCTATTTTCCGCTTCAGGCCCCTTATCGCGGTACAATGTTTTTACTGACGAGTATCAAATGCGTTTTGACATTTGGCGAGACTTACTATCTGATTGCCTTACTGTCGATATGTACATGTGTACACATCAGCTAAAACCTTTTACCCAAGCCGCTAACGCCACTAAAGCGAGAATGTCTATCAATTTTCGAATCCAGTCTATCGGTAAAAAAAGGAACGTATAGCTGCTATTATCAAAATAATAGCGATACTTCGCTATTTAATTGTATAAAGTTATTAAAAATTGCAGGCCCATCTACATACTTGAAAGCATGCAGCGAAAACGTTGATAAAAATAAAAAATTGACTCACCAGCCCGCGATGCCGTTTGGTTGTATCTCTTGTAAGAATATGCCAAGCTCGTTCTTCTCATTGCCCCGAAGTCCGACCACGCTGAATCCCAAGCTGGTTCCTTCCGGTTTATACAGCTAGAAAAACATCAAATCATCTTGATCAGTGGGATACTTGAAAACATAATTTTAATCCGCACGAAAAGTTAACGTGAAACCTAAGAGAATACAGAGAGATTCTTGTAAAGAAGTCATAAAGAAATTTTTACATCTTATAAAAAATTTACCTGCACTGTGAATATTTGCCGTCCTTTCGCCGCAGCTTCGATGACTTTCTTAAACTCCTTTGCATAAGTAGGGGTAGTTATAGGCGGCATCCCCATAACTTCTGAGACAAGACTGGGACTAGTGACCTGTAACAAAGTAATGACAGATCCTTCGATAAAAAGTACATTGTTGATGTCTCACAAAGTGTAAAGATAATACAAAACTACCTGAGCACTCGTGTCCTCGCTGCTGCTGTGTAGTAACGGAGCGACTGGAACTCTCTGATCTTCCAGCTCGCTGCTATCTTGGTACAGATCCTGATACATGTTTGGCCCGAGAGGCTGCACCGTAGGCGTACTTGGAATAGAAAGTTCCAGCTGCCCGCTGAGGTTAATGTCAAAGTCTCCGGGCAAGATAGACGGATGTTGCACCAATTGCGTATTCAATTCGTTCAAGGAGTCTTGAATCATGATTATGCCGCGAAATACTGGATCCTCCAACAACGAAATCAATGTCTTGAAATGCTTCGCCGTGTTCGCCTTCAGCTTAGAATTGCCACTTTTCTCCACCCGTTCCTGCATGCTTTCCAGTATGTGGAGCGCCGTAGACATATCTGCAAATAGTGTAACAAGACAGCGATATTAATTTAGAAATTTAAAAGATTGGTAGAAAGCACAAATCATGTTTATTAAAACTTTTCGTACGTAAAATAATCGAAATAAAAAGGTAAGGCAAAGGCAAAGGCAAAAAGTAACGTTCGTATTTACCTGTATGGAGCGGCATGGTGGCCTCCTTTGCTCTCTGGCCAATACTCAAATTTACACAAATTCCTCACGCACCCAACTGAAACATAAAAGGAGATGATATCCCGTGCACACGCACGCACATGCGAAAATATTGAAACTCGTTGCCTGTCAAACGCCTCGCGCAAAAAATTATATTCTCTTAACCTCAAAACGCGGTGGAACGCTCGCGAGTCGAGAACATATGTTTCTCTCGAGGAACAACCTTTGACGGGCGATTGACTGTCATTAAGCGTAACATCGTTGAGCACGGTCGCGAATCGATATGGGGTCGCGCGGCGAAGCCGCGGGATCGTCCTCGGGAATTCCAATATACCCACCTCGGTTCGCGAGTCGCGCGAGAGGAGAGAACGCGCGCTTCTTTCCCGCGAATGCGATCCTTAATGTCTCACGCGATAACGGAGCGATCTCATTACAGTCCGCGAGCGACGGGCGATTGCATCCTGGGGATCCTGGGTGTCAGCTGACTTGACCGAGCTATATATCGCTATTATCGAGCTTCTTCCAACACGCAACAAGAATCCGGAGCACGCACTCCCGTGGTCGTCGGCGACCACGTGGTCCAGCGCCGCCATTTTCGAACGAGCTCGGGCGCGAGCTCGGTCTCCGTTCGGGCATATAATTAACCGGATAATTAACTAGAGACTTTCGATTTTGAAATTAACACTGAAATAATATTGAAAGTAACGAGAGAAAAGGAGTCTTTGAGAGTCGGTTAGTTGTGCGCGAGTTAACGTTATGTAATATTTGATTAATAATTCAATACAAAGTTATAAGTTGCACATTTCGGCTCTACTTTGAGCCATCTTCCGTGTCCTAATAATTATTATTATTATCATTATTAATATTCCAGGTAGCAGAATAAAGTTAGAAGATGACATAACGACGTCTATTTTATTTTAGTCTATTAGACGTCATTAAATGTCATTTTGTCATTACTCTGGCTGGTTGGGATTATTATTAATAATAATTATTATTATTATTTGTTGTTATTACATTGAGTGTAATGATAAAATGCGGAAAAAATGAAACCCTACAATTTTATATGCTTTTGTATACTTTGCATATTAATAGATTTTTATATGCATATATTTTATATATGTTCGTATCTTTTTTTTAATTCTTTGAGTGTTTTTTGTATTACATAACGCGTAAAATTATAAACAAAATTCTATCTCAAATTCTGAGACAGATTACAATGCTTTGTGAATTTGTAATGTAAATGAAGCAAAAAGTATATGCTCGCAACTAAAATATCAACGAAAATTTCCCTGCATGTGTTATATAATACGCTTTACGTAACAAATGTGCATTATATATAATGTTATAAATATTACAATATTATTATAATATTAATCGAGCCGTTAACAATATAAGATTGTAATAATTATTGAATTACAAACGCGTGGGAAAGCTTTTGAAAAATAACGCTCTCCATAAATGTTTGAGCATGTGTGCATTGATGAAATAATATTCACGCAAAGGCTTCTCTTAAAATAATTAATATTGAATAAATCATATTTTGGCTCTGATGAAAAAGACAGACTTTGTCAAATGTAGAGGAAAAAGAAGTAGATATATAAAATGTAACCGCAAAGTTTAAAGATTTTAATAAAAAGAAAACTACAGCCGAAAGAAGTGCTTCTTATCAATAAACGGTTTTTCTTATAAAAACGTTCTTATATTTTTATTAGATATAAAAGCACAATCAAAGCAGAATCCATTCCCCATTTCTTCACTTGCAACATACCTGAGGAATTTTTTATTACTTATTTATTTTTTTTTAAATGCAATATCATATTTGTGGCCATAATGTCATGAAAGTTATTGAATGAAAGCTTCCTTTTTTGCAGTTATTACATTGCTTTATTGCATAATAGCATTAATAGCATGCTTACAAGAAAAGCGAGTTACTAGGGCTAGATCTGCCTGCAGATAACTGTTATTGTTATTATATATAAAAGAATATCAAGAATATAAAAAGAATATCAAGAAGAAACATATTATCAAGCGCTCCCTAAGAGAGAGATTTATTACGTTCCTTTATCTTTCCACCTTCCCCTACATTTCAGACTCCACGGAAGCGTCGTTATTTGCTGTCTCAAGAGAAAAAGATATTTCTTAAGTATAATGCTCTTTGTGGAGACACAAGAAAGGACGTTCCGTAAAGAAAGGAAGGGAAAAGATCTCAAGATCATTATTAGCACCATAAGTTATGAGAAGCTGACGTATACTGTTACTATCGAATTTCACATTTCCTTCTCATATGTGTTAATTTAATTCATTATAAAATATTGATTTTACACGCGCATTTTTATCATATTTCATTTCCATAGACAAGATGAAATTTTTATACATATATTTTAGAAAAAAAAACAAGGTTTTTATTTTAAAAACGTTGAAGTACTTATGTAATATACATAATAATATTATAGTTCTTAATTTCCTCGCAACAATATTTAAAAATCACGAAACCAAATATAAATACCTACATTCAGAATATTGTAAAATTGTTAAAAGAGTCATAAGAAAGTCTATCTTCCATATTATTTTTGAATTTCTTTACAATTCATGTATATGATCAAGAATTGTACTTTTAAATTAACACTCGTACATTCTAAAGGACTGAAAATAACAGTAAAATAAATTAAATTATTCGCGGGACAGTACATTACGCAAACACGAAGAAAATAATTCTCGAGGTGTCTAATGCGATGAACAAAAGGTTACGGACCCCTGCATTGGGACGCCTGATCACCCCGCGCTTTATCCAGTCGATCGTTCAGCGGCTCGTTGACTCTCGTCGACGATGACGGCGCGTTCTCGTCCTGGTTGACAGGCTGACCTCGGCTGGGAGTGCTCTAATCCATGATTCCGCCGCGCGAGCCGGCCTCGATGACGAGAACCTACAACGGTGGAGGGTACACACGACGCTCCGCAACTCTTATTGGGGCCCCCCGCGCGCGCGGACGCGGGCACGACGCGATCGCGCGTCGCTCGTTTTCCCGGATGGCCCCACGGAAACCGGACACACAATGGGTCCACTTCCGCTGCGTGCAAGGCCAGAGAAGTCGGACGTGGGGGACCCCACCTGTCCGCCCCCGCGCGCGCGTTGTTATCCGCGCGCCGCGCTTCACGGGCCCCCTACGGCCTGTCACGCGGCCGTATCGCGGGGACCGCTCATCGGGAATGCACGATTTGCTCTTTTGCCGTTCTCTCTCCACTTCCCAGGTGTACAGGTGTCCATTATTTCCACGCTTTACGCCGATTTTGAACGTCAGTTTGATTACGGGTGCCATTCGCGCCGCACGCGTGATTTCGGCGTATACGCTCGCACGCCTCTTTCTCGCGCGCGACAGCTCGGCGGATAGCTCACGAGGGACGCTTCAAGATCGCACTTCGGGATCGCGTCGGGATAGCATCGACATCGCTTTCCTTCGCCCTTCTTCTCGGTAGAGTCACACAATCGCTCCCGAAAGGACGGAGAGCTCGCGACAGAAAAGCGGAGAATTTAGGGAGAGCTGTCCCTCTCGGGTAAGATAGCGTTCTTTCGTACAATTGATAATCTTATTCAAATGTCGCGCGATATCTAATCTGTACAGATGAAAATTTCTTAGTCCGTAAATTCATTCGTAATTTAGACTTTAATTATAATTTTATAGCCTTTTTTTGAAGGAAATGCCACGAACGGAAGATTAAAGCGCGTGCTCGTGAGGGTGAATTTATTCTACCAATCCGCAGCACCCTCATGTTCCGTTATCTTCCTTGTAAAGAGATTTATTAGATCGATAAACCACTTGAAATGTTAGAAAATATAAGACTCTTCATATACGCTTATAATGAATTTTTAGTAAATACATGACTAATTCCCTTCGCTATACAATCGTGAAAAGAAAAATATTCTTACAGAACATCGCTCGTGATTACATGTCCATATAAGGACTGAAGACTGCCAGCATGACTGCAACTATTCGAAAACTTAATTAATTATTCCAATGACGTGTATATATCTCGTAGTGATTAACGCGTTGGAGCGCAGTACACGTTCGTATTGCTGTAATCACGATAATTACTCGTTACGCAATCGTAAGATACGAGCACTATACTGATGATTTTCCACGATCTTTCACAGAGCCTCGCGATCGTATTCGATTGGTAAATAACTATCAAGTGACTCGCAGAAATATCATGCCGCGATCCAGACACATTGTCGCCTCTCTCTTTCTCACCCCCGGCATCACGTCGTGCTCGAATTCGTCGGGGAATTAGCATGGTGCATTACCAGATAATAATTTGTCGTTGCGTGCGAAAGTTCCATTAACATGAACGTCACACAACAATGACCGAATTCATTCTCCGTTCGACACGGATACGCACGCAACAATGCCATCCGCGTACCAATAGGGTTCAAAGCACCACGACAATAGGACCTGCGGTGGAAGCTCCCAGTGAAAAGCGGCTACAGAAAGTAAGCTTTCAAAAGGCCGGTGATTCCCAAAGCCCGAATTGCGAATTGCGTCAACAACGATCTTCAAATTGCCTTTTGTGTGTTCCTCTATAAATAACTCGTTTCTGTCGTTCGTTTATGAGCGATATTGGTTGGCGATAAATCTCAAATCCTCGGTTTAGAAATTAATATTTCGTAATAGCCGATTTTATAATGGTGCAGCAAAAATTAAAAACACTTCGCGCGAACTATTCGTTATACTTTTAACGTCTTCTCTACCCGCGCGGCGTTTTTAATTGGTTGTAACCTCTGCTCGTGTCTCTGACGATATGTTTAATTACCTTAATCCGAGTAATTTCCCGAAATAATTTACACACGGAGAGAGAGCGGCACGTCATAAATCCGGCAATCCGCGGCGAGGACAATTGCAGAAATGTAATTTCGTACCGCGTAATATTACACGAATTACGACGAACGGGCGCCATAATTTTCTCTCGCGACCGACGATATTAACATCAGTATAAGCTTTTATACTGCGTTGTCGGTGACAGACACAATTATCGAGGCGATAAACCATAACGTGATTAATAAGCGGTGTGCTCTGCACGATGGACACCCGATGGGATACAATCGGTGGACGAGCCATGGGCCATAGTAATTGGCACTCGTCACGAACAAGTGCATACGCTCGTGCATCAACGAGTAAACATAAATTACCCCGACAATAAAATCCTCTTTATGATACGTTGTCGATATCATAAACATCGCCATTGTGGCGTTGCTGTAGGTGCACTCGTTGAGCTTGATTGCGATACTCTCAAAATTATAAACGAATAAAAGCGAACACATTAACATTCGTATTGTACCTTGTAGGCAGTTCATAACTTTTAAAATATCAAAATAATTTAATTGCCATGATTTACTCTCAATCATGTGTTTTAACACACTAGTACTAGTATCTGCTTTACGCGAGCGTTACTTCTGTAGTAATTTACGATAATTCACTTCGCGTAAACGGGGATCTCTGCCAGAGACCCTCGTTTACGCGGAGTGAATTATCGTAGAGTTACTACAGAAGTAACGCTCGCGTAAACATAGTACAGGTGAAACGAATAATATTAAAATACCGATACATAAAAAGAAGAAAACTATCGCGAAAAATTTATTTGAACAGAATAGAACATTTCAAAGCGTGAAATTTTTTTGAAAGATTTTACATTCGAAAAATTATTTTAGAAGCTATTACATATCAAATAAAATCAAAATAGAAAATAAAATAAAATGAAATAAAAATTCACGCGGCTCCCGAAAATCAAACTCAACGCATATCACACAAATACGTTTTTTTTCTTTCAATTGATGGTACCGAATAGTGATGAAATCATTGGTAGACGCATGAAGATGACCCTGCTCGTTCTTTCGTTTCCGATGATTGAACTCGTGCTTTCCTACGTCAATCACGATAACCGGATAGATAATGGCAACCGGCTAATATAATGTAATGCCTGAAAGTTGGAACCACGCTTCGTTGCCCTTACGGGCGTGTGCTGGTCCTTTGGCAGCCACGTACGTACACGAGCGCGCGAGGGTGACAGTGTGTGGAAGTGTTCAGGGTGAGTGCCCGTCAGGAATCCCATAAAGTTTAGTATATACGCTGTCCCCCGCTGTACGTATCTCGAGTACGTCGAAACGTCCATCCAGAACAAATGGCTCTCGCCAGTAGTTTTATCTGTTTTTCGATTTTTCACGTATTGTTTTTTTTTACGCGAGGGACAAAACTGGATTTGCGTCCGTTGCACCTGGTCCTCCAGGGAAATTCGAAAGAAACATTCGAGCAATTTCGAAAATTAGCTAAGCAATTATTCCAATTACTCTTTCTATATATACATTCTTTTACAAACATTGTTTTGTGAATTTTTTTAATTAAATATTTTTCTGATTAAATGTGAAATGAAATATTTATACGTGTGTAGCGTGCGTAATTTTTAAAAAACTTTATGCCCCTTTGAAGTACATATAAACTGTTTCAATATTTTTCCCTGGACATTTATATTTTATGAAAGAAAAATACACGTGAAAAATAGGTGTAATCTTCCTGATAGTTTGTCATATGAATAATTTCGAGGTCTCTTGCATTATTAAATTTCAATACAAAGCTATCCCTTAGGAAAGCATTTCTCTCTTCGCATAAATTAAATTTCTCCCCTCTTTTCGAAAGCACATTCACGTCCGACTTCTCAATTTTTACCTCGTGTAATTTCTCGACAAATAACTCAAAATAATTTATATTTTTTTAATAACGTACATTTAGTATATAACGTTAGAAATTTAAATTAAAATAAAAAATTAAAATCGTAGAAAGTTTCAATAATAATGATATTTTTCTAAAATAAAAATATATCTCTTTCCTTTTATGTGTTAATATTATTAATGTTCAATAATTCATTTTCAGATCGTAACAGCGATTGGCATGTATGCGACATAGTAATCTGTACATTTCAATATCATCACGATGCGGAGATCAATTAGTATGCTGCTAACTATTTGGATACTCATCGTGTTAGATCTACTGGTCAATGGTAAGTAAACATTAAATTAAAAATTCTTTCCAATATCTTTCAAATTGATAAATATCATTAACACATACATTACTCACAAATGTTTTTAAAAAATTAGCAGAAAGAAAAAACATTCATCTTCATGACTAAAATTGATTCTAAATTTATTTTAAATTAATTGATTTGATTGAACCAATAAGCGCAATTAATTAATAGCAATTTTTGCTAAAAATTAGAATAGAGATCTTAATTTCGATTTTCTGTTCAGCGCGGCAAGTTATATCCTAAATTTCTTGTATCCTGAAAATGTGCTCTACTGTTTGGAATTCGCATATAGTTAAATAGTTCTGCGAACGTGCGAGCGAACAAATCGAGGGATACAAAACGATGTCACGTCGTACTTGCGAAACTGTTGGTCGGTATTGTGTCACTATCCGTGCCACTTATGGACACGAAAATATCGCGTTTTGATAAGATCGAAGAGCGCACGTGCGTGTTTGTCGACTAGAGGAAGTAGTTTTGAATTTTATGTGAATAGGAAATAATATAATACGTACTTTTTCGCGCGAAATAATATATAAATAATAAAAACAGGAAAGGATTTGTCGCGCGTTGACCGACAAACGGACGCTAACGAGAAAACCATTATAGTTTCAGCGCAAACGACCTGCAACGGTGGTTTGGGTAGGGTGGTTTACGAGAGACTTCCGGATCAGCAACTTCAGGGTTTCGACGACGATGTGGTAAGTTCGCGGCGATTTCGGAAATACTTTACATTTTACCATCGTGCTCTAATAGTTTCTCAAATTTCTAGCTTATTATCAGTAAAATATTCATGAAATATAATGTTTTATTTCACAAATTTTCAGATATTATATTTTAATGTATTAATTATAACGTTGGGATTTTTTATTCGTGCGTTGTTTCGTGTGGAAACGATCGATCGGGCAAGACCGCCTCTCGAATTTCAATTTGCGGACACAATTTCGCGACGTAGCTGTCGCGTAGGAAAAGTCGTCACGTGACAGTAGCTGCGATAAAAAAAAAACGTTGAAAAATTTCGTTTTACGACAGGTGCGAGACTCGGCGCCTCCGTTTAGAGTTTTGGAAAAGTGTCAAGAGCTCTGTCTGCGCGACAGAACGGCGACGAACAATCTGGTCCGCGCCTGTACGAGCTTCGACTTCCAGCCTGGCAGTAGAATTGCGTCCTTCAGCGGCGCTGCCGAGTACGAGGAGAGTACTTGCTATTTAACGAGGGAACAGGCTCAGCCGGAGGGCATCGGAAATCTCATGCTCGTACCGAACAGCGTGCACTTCACTGAAGTGTGCCTAGCGTGTGAGTATTCGCATGTCGACAGAAAAGAATATCTTTGTATGCACCGAGGTGCATTTTATTAATTGAAACAGCCGCTCGTTCGTGAGTTCGTTCGTCAAAAGAACAAGTCAGCAATGATTTTTTTTTCTTCAGTTCTAATAGAAACGGAACGAACGATTCTCTCCGAGGAAAGGCTAAAATTCTTAATTATGATTTAGTTCAACTTTTATCTTTAATAATTTCTATTTACTGGAAATTAATATAATGATTAATATTCTCTCTTTCACTCTCAGCCGACAGAATAGAAAGGGAATGTCCAAACCGTCGTTACGTGTTTGAGAGGCATCCGAGGAAAAAGTTGAAGCTACCCTTGACAGACATTAAAGAAGTCAGCGCCGCTAACAGAACCGACTGCGAGGACAGGTAGGTATACATGTGGAGATTAAAAATTACTATATATATGTCGTAAAAGAAATAATATTTTAATGTTTTTGTGTTCAGATGTCTCAACGAGTTCAGTTTCGTCTGCCGATCGGCGACATACGACACTGCCCTAAGGAGCTGTTCTCTCAGTCGTTTCACCAGAAGAACTCATCCCGAATTACTGGAGGACGATCCAAATTCTGATTATCTGGAAAATACCTGCCTTAATGGTGCGTAATTACGTATTTTATTACAAAATTGCGTCAGAAATTTTCTTGTAATATTTAGAAATCGCGCGAGAAAACATTATTAAGAGACGTTAAATTAGCATGTTAAATATATCGAGAAATATCACGTACATATTTACATTAATCACATAATTATATTAATTAATAATATTTATATCAATTATACATAATTGTTAAAATTGAAGAAATATTCTTTTAACGTGTGATCAGCCGAAAGACGATGCGACGGCCTCGCAGTATTTGTCAAAGAAGAGAACAAACGTTTACGCGGCCCGTTTGAAGTCGATATATACACGAATCTCACTTTGGACGAATGTCAGGCGCTATGTCTCAGAGCGGAGAAATATTTTTGTCGCAGCGTCGAGTTTGACGAGCAAACTCGACAGTGCGTCATATCCGAGGAAGATTCCGTTTCACAAAAGGACGATATTGGAGTTAGTAGCAGCCCAAGCCATCACTTTTACGATTTGGTGTGTTTAGATAATCGTGAGTGTATGCAAAAGAATATTAATTTGTAATACTAGCTCTCCTTGCCTATGTCTATTTTAGTTTGCGATAATTCGTCTCATTACGTAAGTAATATTCGCAATAAATTGTATAAAGAATTAATTATTTTACCAAAACATTATCTAACCAAAGTTAATTTTCAAGAAACTAATAAGCTTTTATTAAACTATTTTTTTAAATTTATTTTTACTAATATCTTAGTTTATTAAATTTATTAATTACTAATCTTTTCTATAATTTTATTAACGTGGTTTCGGTGTAAATAAATGAAATAAAGATTTGATCGAACATGTAATCCTAAAATTGCCTATTGTACAAATTATTTACCGTTCTAATCGAGAGTTCAAAGTATCAGAGTGATTTCTATCTTATTACTCTGTATCTGTATCATAGTACATATTCTAACGAGGCGTTCAATTAACAATGGTCACTTGGTGATTCACAACTCGTTATCAATGCCCACTTACGAAGCGTAGATCCGTCCGTAGCGCGCGGCTCCGAATACCCGGACAGCAGCTCGTCGTCGCACCTCTTCTCCGACGGTCGTCGTCCGGACACGGCCTTCCAGCGTTATCGGAACTCGCGTCTGAGCGGCGAGTTTCATTCAGAGATCACCGGACGCAGCCTCAGCGAGTGCCTGGACGAGTGCCTCCGGCAGACGAGCTTTCAGTGCCGTAGCGCCGTTTACTCCGAGCATTATCATACCTGCCGATTGAGCCGGTTCAATCAGAGGGACGGTAACCGGATTATCTACGATGCCGATTACGACTATTACGAGAATCTCATGCGTGAGTATCGATCGTCTGTCCGTTCGCCGCGAGAAAGGATACGTGATAAACAGTTTCTGAATATCGTGTCATCCGCAATAAATTCTACGCAGCTAATAGCACTTTAACAATTAATATATATCCGAAAAGGATCAATAAGCAGTACCATCAAAAAAGTAAATTCTTGAACGTTTATCTTTGTTCTGCTACGAAAAATTTGGAATCGATTCAATTCTTTTCTTAAACAATTATGTCGGTTGATAGATTGACTTGTATCACTGCGCTGCGTATTTCGCGAATTTATTGAAGCAATATGATACAGCGTTACGTAGATTAATGTTTAATTTAACGACCCATTGTATATACTAACAGATCAATATCTAGACGGCGATCGCGATGGCCCTGGATACAGACCCGATCCTCTGGGACAAGACACAAACTTTGGACGACCCTCTTTAGGAAGACCCGGTTAGAATCGCTTTATTAATTTAGCATAATATCGCATGTCGACGTGTTATATAAAGTTACGTGATTATTCATGGAACTGCTAAGTATTCCCATAAATTGTCGTAATGGGACAAGATCTCAAACACACAATGTATTATAACCGCTGTTAGACATGACTGTTAACCATCATCTGTTACGATCATCTCGTAAATATCATCTCATAAATCGTGTTATTCGAATACTAAGCTAATCAAAACTACATTCGCACTGTACGTTTAACGCTAAATATGGTTATCTAATCCTGAATTTTATTCTTCTTTACTATTATAATCGTATAATTTAATATTAATAAAAAATCAGATAACTGTATTTAATGGTAACGTATATAAGTTATTATCATATTCGTTTATCAGCTTCCATATTAAAAATGCGAAAGATTTAATATGCATAATTAATTATGACAATAAAACTTCCTAAAATATTTTCTTCAGGATACCCGGACGACTACGACAAAGGATACTCCAGTAGCGTCAAACCGGATCGCTATCCCGATCGTATGCCAGATCGGTATCCCGATCGCTATCCAGATCGTTATCCCGACCGTTATCCAGACCGATATCCCGATCGTCGTCCCTTAGACGATAGATACCCGGACAACAGATATCCTTTAGGCGAGTCCGACAACTATCCCGATCGATATCCTGTTGGTGATCGATATCCTGATAGATATCCTGCTGGAGATAGATACCCCGCTGGAGATAGATACCCCGCTGGAGATAGATATCCCGCTGGAGATAGATATCCCGCTGGAGATAGATATCCCGCTGGAGATAGGTATCCCGTTGGAGATAGATATCCCGTTGGAGATAGATATCCCGCAGGAGATCGTTATCCCGCAGGAGATCGTTATCCCATAGGAGATCGTTATCCCACGGGAGACCGTTATCCTTCCTCTGATCGTTACCCAGTTGGAGACCGTTATCCGGATCGATATCCCATATCCGATCGATATCCTGTTAGAGGAGGAGACCGCCGTCCTGTTAGCGTCAATAGATATCCAGATGCCGGAACTTTGGGGAGATATCCCACGAATGACCGATATCCCGTAATACATGGGGTCCGACTGATTCCAAGCCGATATCCTACTGACATGATTGATCGATATCCCAATACAATCGATCGGTATCCTCTCCCGGAAGACCCGATGGACCGATATCCTATGACATTAGGTGACAGAACTCCTATCGATCGATATCCAGCTACTGGAAGATATCCAGACAAGGACCCTTATGCTAACCGGTAAGTCGCGAGATTAAATCAAAGGTAAAAATTGTTTTCGCTTAATTTGTCGCTTTTTCATTAACACGTTGTCTGCCTAATGAGTTTTACGTTTATTCAACGTAAATAATTTACATAGGTCACATGATGTATCATAGAAAAATTACATTGCGATTCAATTAAACAGCAGGTATCCGCCGCCAGGAATGTTCTCGCACGGATTCGTCGATGACGTTCGCGGTCCCCAGGGCCAGGGTCCCGAGTCGCGACCTCCTTACGGCGCGGGCGGTGGGCCTTATGGTCCGGCGCGACCCCCCGTTGGAGGGTACGGAGGGTACGGCGACGGCGGTGGTATCGTCGGTGGTGGATACATAGGCGAAGGCGGCGTCTACAACTCTCGTCCATTTGGAACTGCCGGCGGGCCTATCATAGGCAGACCTCCGTTAGTGTCTAGGTGCGACGAGCAGGATAATTTCAGACAAGTCGGGACACACACCAGAGTGCGAAAGCCGTTCGTCAGACGGTACACCACCGCCTCGTCGTTGGCTCAATGCGAGAGAGAATGTGCCGACGCTAGAGACTTCGTTTGCAGGTAATAATAAAGACCGAATTTGTAAAAATATATTGGACGATAATTAAAATTTATATCAAAACATCGAGCTTTTCGGTAATTACATAATTCGATAAAGCTTTGTCGTTTTGCTAGCAATTTAGAGAAAATAAAAGCATCTTAAATCCAAATTGAATAATTTTTAAATGATAATGTGCTACATGATCGATTTAAGCAATATATTTCATGATAGCGATGTGATTATATTTATCAAAGGCATAAAAACGTTTCCTAGCGATTATAAAATCAACAGAGAATAGTGAAAGTTAACATAAAAAATAAAATTGAATTCGGCTCACATATCAATACGCGAAACAGGAAAGATAATTCTGCAAAGGCATAAGTAGGAAGTGCGTTCATCGAAAGCTACAGTTACAACGGTGAAACGCATTGCAGCATTCCGACAGTTGATTCAGGAGATGCTTGTGACCCGGGAAGCTTGAAATTGAATTAGGAATGATCTGAGAGCGTTTGTTTGCGCAATCGATCGGACAGTGCTCGCAAATTCCCAACGTCATTTGCAGGTCCTTCAATTACCGGCCGTACGCCGCGCCTTACGGGGCCGAGAGGGACAACTGTGAGCTCAGCGACCGGGACTCCAGAGACATGGACATGGGCAATCCGGTTTATTACGACTCGGGCTCCGATTACGATTTCTACGAGAGGAACAACGGGCGCCAGGGCGCAGACGGAGAATGTCTGGACGGTAAGCGGCCACTCCGTCCATAAAGTGCCCATACAAAAGCTGGAAACATGCGCGAAACACACATGAACTCATTGAGGAGAACCAGGGTGAAACGTACTTATATTCAAAATACAAATAAAATGTCCAGATTATTATTTACATGGAATTAAGAACGCATTGAAGACAGCGTTTCACTCGGCATCCGATCTATAAAATGAGATAATTATTCTTCTAGAATTAAGCTGCACATATTTGATGATGGATTTTTACGCACGTTATTGTACATACAATTTTGCACCACTGTCACACGACTTCACCTTTACGAAATAAATCTCTAATGCTGTTTTTTTTTCACCTATACGTTTTCTCCTTCTCGCACGTGCGCAACCTATGCAATATCCACGCACCAACACAGTCTACATTCCAAGTATCGAGGGTGTACGTGATACATTTTTATGATCATCCCTGATCAGCGATTTCCCATCCCTTCCCAATCTTGCTAATAGAGAAGCAATACGGTTTTTAGCATAGTCAACTTGTGTATCTTATCCATAAGCTCGATTTCACCTTGGCCTGCTAATAATTTTATTGACTATTTAATTAACTTCAATTTAATTAACTTGGCACCGTATTTAATTAACGCTCACCTCTCTTTGAGCCTTGGTTTGCCGGAAACCGCGCGGATGCCAACGAATTACGCTCTGTTACACTTCTAGTGAGTCAAGTCTGTAGCGAGGACGGGATGGAGTTTACACTAAGGACGCCGGAGGGATTCATCGGGCGAATTTACACGTACGGGTACTACGACCGGTGCTTCTTCCGCGGAAGCGGCGGCACCGTGAACGTGCTCCGTATCAGCGGACCTCAGGGATACCCCGAGTGCGGCACACAACGAGTAAGAGTGGCCATTTCCGTTTAACTGTTCGATCCGCCGAAGTAATTTCCATGATTTGATTCAAGCTAAAAACTTTTATCGTGCACGATCAACAAAGGACTACGAAAGCTTTTTATGAAGCATGGAAATTTATTCCGCGATTACTTTTAATTAGATTTATAAAAGCTATTTATAATAATTTGCTTTCTTTAATTTTTGCATTAACGACCTACTTCTCTTTCTTGGTGGTATCTGATAAAATCGCAATTTTTGACAGTAGTAATAGATGTATGTGATATAAATGCTTTGATGAATGTTTGCAGTACGGCGATACGATGACAAATATCGTGGTGGTGCAATTTTCGGATTACGTGCAAACCGGACGGGACAAACGATTCAACCTGACGTGCATGTTTCGGGGGCCTGGCGAAGCTGTCGTCACATCCGGCTACATCGGTGCCGGGTATGCCAGGTCATATCGATCGAGAGGTCGCGTCTTGCACCGAGAGTATGATTTTTAACGCGTTACGTGCCATATAGGGACACTGAATTTTGTAAATAAAGCCATATCGAGAGAAAAATTATTGAGCCTAACTAATAATATTCCTTGTTATAATTTATGATCTTATCTAATTATATATTTACAGGATTTTCTTCCGACGAAACGTATAATTTCAGAGCAAGCAAGTCAGACTCTCCATCTTTAGATACGTTGAGCAAATATTACCGTATTGCTCCAACGTTATTCTAAACTCCCCTTGCTCATTAATTTCATATGTTAACATGAAGCCACGTGTAATGCTTAGCGAGTTACTGTGAGCGAAGTAAAACTCTCCGTCTTTCGTACGCGAGTATACATAGGTGCAAGCACGCTCGTGCAATTTCTTTTATTACACATTCAGTCCCAAATGTCATTTAAGGATATCACGCACGCAATTCTATTCCTTCGTGCAATTGCCTACTTTACGTTACGCTGTATCATATATAACGTACTACTTTTTTATTAACGATGCCACTTATTAAAAAATTAATTAATACGATTAATTATAATATCGGAAATTTTTGGTTTTTATGCTATTAATTATGACGCAATAGTTACTTTTTAATACTACTTTATTATTTACAATAGTTATTTTTGTGTTACAATAGTTATACCAAAAAATCTCTAGTTGGAAGATGACAAATTTACATGAATTGATAAAATTAAAATTTAGAAGTACAATAAAAGTTAATTGGTTGATTTATGCCGTCGGCATTATTTTTTTATATACGTCGCTTTTACCACACTATTCGATGTTTCTACTTTCAATTTCGCTAATGGAACTCGTACGTGCACTGTACAGATCAGGGTCTCCCATCCCTATTGAATATCTCCCAGCGGAAAACACCTTGAGCTCCAGAGTACGCTTGATGATTCTCTATCAGGGTAGACCTACGACGACCATCGCTGTTGGTGACCCTCTCACATTCAGACTCGAAGCTCAGGATGGGTAATCTCCATTTATACATCTTTTAGCGTAATAATGGCGATAATTTAATAAAATTACAAGGTTACATTTTAGAGCATGGTCTAATAGAAATAATAGCTTCGTATTACTGTCTGATTCCGTTGACTTCAAAATTAATCTTTGCACGCGTCGGAAATTGAAAGCTTCACGTATTTAAAACATATAATTATTTAAATTTTAATAAGTCCTAATTATTATTTCCCATAGGTACAATTACGTAACGGATATATTTGCTACCAACGTTATCGCAAGAGATCCTTACTCTGGTAGAAGTGTTCAACTGATAGACAGATATGGGTAAGATACATCCGCTAATAGTCAGAGAAGAGAAAGAGAGAAATTATAATAGCATTATAAAAACGCGGCAATAATATTACATTATCTATACTGGAGATAATGCAATATTATTGCTGCATTTTTTCTTGGTCTTTCTCGAGCTGTCAAGTTACATAAATAAATTTAATTATCCGCAAATCATAACGTATCAGACATATCGTATCATGATTGAAACGGAAATTTTTGCAGCTGTCCGGTGGACAACTACGTGTTTCCGGGTTTGGATCGCCTCCGCGACGGCGATAGCCTCGAGGCCCGCTTCAACGCCTTCAAAATACCTGAATCAAATTTCCTGGTGTTCGAGGCGAACGTAAGAACGTGCCGCGATGGCTGCCAACCGGCGTACTGCTCCGGCGGTACCGGCAGGAGCGAGCCGTCTTTCGGCAGGCGGCGAAGGGACGTAAATAACGACACGGTAGCGGACGAGGACGAGATGTCGCCGATAACGGTGACGGACGGTGACTCGAACAACGTGTCGACGACGATTTTCAACGCGACCGACCCTGCGAACGACGACATGGATAACGAAGAGGAGGAAGAACATGTCAGGGAAATGATAGAGGTACCAAGATAGAAGCTTTCGCGTCGAAGGAATGAAAAGATGTCATCTCCATTTCCGCGGTTTATAATATTATCTGTATTTTGATAGGTTCTCGACTCGAGAATGGACATTGAGGAAGACACCGTCGTCGAGAAGCAAACCAAGATCTTGGAAAATATTTGTATAACGCAAAATGAATACTATGGCTTGGTTACCGCAGTGGGTATCCTCGTCGTGCTCTTAGCCTCCGTCGTTCTCTTGTCTATGCTCGTTTATAGGTAAAACTTATATTTAACTTTCGAAAATTTATTTCTCATTTACGTTCTCACAAGATTAAATTAATCTATAAATATTTCATAAAAACTTATAGTATTATTAATAAAAAATAAAATAACTGAGTTTCTCAGTTTATACAGTTTCTTATCCTTCTCTGCCTATTAAGCGAATTTAAAGTGATTCATCGTTTCAGAAAATACGTTTATTCCGTGATCATGAAAAATCGTAGACTCGACAACAAAACCTGCAATCGCAGCAGCCATTCCGACGAGCCTTACAACAGCCGAGTTAACAACTTTTCTTTCATGAGGGCAGGTCTTCAGAAACCATTCCAGGCTTCGTAAGTAAAAAGTCAAACAAACAATCTATATATTTTAAGTTCAGAGTTATAAAGGGGGAAAATGCGTTAACAAAATATTTAACATATCCGCATTAATATTTAATTATTCATCATTAATTTGCAATAGAGATCGTAACAGGAGGAAATGTTTAATTATTATAGATCGATCTCGAGATCAATGAGCAATGCTATCAGCCAACGTCTCGCCTCGTCGTCCACCGCTCTGGAGGGTGCTGTAGGATTGTCCAGTGGTCGACGTGGCGGTTTCGATCCGAGCGAGCCGATCTACACCGATCCTTCGCTTTTCGAGGTCACCCGTTGCTCGAATACTGCGAAATCGGCTCTCAGCGACAACTTTCATCTTATGTAGAAGAAATTCGCGGAGAGATTGAACCCGAAATTGCGTTACGCGAACGATCCCCGCTCTATTTATTTATACCTTAATGAGAGTATACGAAAGCGACTAACGACAACCAATCCATGACAAATCAGCATCCAATATGATCTATTCTGTCACTAGTCAATAACCCACTGCCAGTCCCTCTGCTAATGACTGTCAAGCATTTAAATCCTTCAAATGGATTCCGAATAATCTAGATTGACTTTTAGTATATCGTCGAAGATTACCTAAATTAGAATTTACGTTTATATAATACTACAATATTACTAACAATCGAGAAGTTAAAGATATTGCTTTATAAAAATATTTCCTAAAGATGCTTCAGAAGTAGCATTTATTGTTTCTCTCAAACAAACATTCCAAAATGACTGCAAAATAGCTTTTAATATAATATAGAAATTTAAGTTTCGAATAATCAAGAGTATTTTAAGACGCAAAGAAAACTCGTGGTGGCATACTTAATTCCAACGATAATATGATAAAATGATAAATTTACTGTACACTTCTTACAGAATCTATTTTTTTATCTTTTACATGTTTCTTTTAAATTGGAAGACATAGAGTTGTCTGTGCGCTTATAATTTTACCAAAAATGACTGATCCAAACATACAAATAGTACGAATAATGTATGAACATCGAAACGCTTTTTTTTTATATTACTCTCATCATTTATCAACTCTTCGTCGCATCTGCATTTGTCAAAAGTCACAACTTCGCAACATTCGTCACGAATAATATCGCCTAACGCAATAATTATTAATTACTAGCAAGTAAAATTATCAGAAGGTTTATATTTATTATGATATCTTGATTTTACATTTATGAGAAATAAAAATTGGTATTATATAGAGACACAACCACGTTTGCATTTTTCACATAACTAACTGATTTATCTTGCTTACAAGCACCAGCGCATCAACATCTACGCATTGGATAAAGAAAATAAAGAAAAATAATAAACTTACAGCAATGCGTCCTACGCGTACATCCAAATTATCCACTTTTCTTCATTCATCTTTAATCCTGTCCAACTTGTAAGTAAAGAACAGCATTTTGAGCCTGGCCTCCTCCTTGCGATAATGAGCCTCCTCCAGCTTGATCCTTGCCTCCTCCTTTAACATGGCAGCGATATCGACCTTCATCTGCGCTTCAGAAAGCGCTAGCACGTGCAGTTCTTCTTCTCGTTGCATGGATTTCCTTTGGCGATTATGCTCCTGCACAACGCGAGGCGAGATTGAAGTGTACAAGTCACTCGGTCCCGGATTTGTGTGAATTTCTCGGCGTGCGATATTCTTAAGATTGTTGTCCGTCGATTGATTAATCGTAGGGGTATCCGTGTGTGTGTGCGTGTTTCTTTTTATAACGAATCTTTCATAATAGTCATTTATCGAATCGGGGGCTGGCACAATACCGTCATGTTTATCAGCTGTGTAAAATCAAATTATTTCAAATTTTTACTACTTTTTTGAAATTAGAAAGTACTATCTCTCTATTAATAATAATACTGAGTATAAAATTATTATAGTACAAAACTATTATAAATCATTATATTACAACAAATATTTCTGTCAATTTCTAACAAAACTATAAAGAATTCCCAATTAAACAAGAAATAAAATTTTCAAAAAACGCGATGTGCAAATTAAAAATTATTTAATTTATAAGAATATTATTTCTCACACATTTTTCCTTTATTGATATTTAATTATCGTTCATTATTATAACTTTATTTATTCGTATAATTGAAAAAATCAATTTCCTTTGTGACTGTGCATTTTTAAAAAATTCTAGATATTAAACGGGAGTAAAGCAAAAGAAAAGCATATTTACAATTTGAATCTTCGCGACTATCCACGTCTTTCTTCAGGCAGTTTGGATTTTGAGATCCGGCAGTACAGACACTTTGCAACGTAAACGGTTCTGAATCCTTCGGCTCGAATACTATATTCGGTGGCAGACCAACGGTTCCGGTAGACATCGGCGTTTCCGACATATTCTGGCCACAAGTTATACCTTCCCAGCATTGATTTCTCGCCCACCTATCGTCTTTTGTCGACTGACAAATCTCTTTCGTACCGTCACTAAAGAGATCAAAAAATCTAAATAGTTATTATTCTCCCGGAATCATTTTCTCTATATAACAAATTTAGCAAACTTCTAGGTTGAAGCAGATTTTTCTCCTGAATAAAAATTTTATTTGATACTACCTTTTCTACTCTCTCATCGCTCTCTCCTAGCTCTTATAAACAAAACTCGAAATAATTAAATTCCATAACTATTAATTTCCGTTAAATGCCAAGCTCGATTAACTCCGAAAGCAAAAATGCTTCGTAATATTAAATTACCGGAATTTCTTTTCCTCGCGATTACGTTTGCAGGCCTTCATATTCTCCCAGCAACGTCTGAGTTGTACAGAGGAACGAGTACCCCGAGATCCTACCATTGAGTTGTACTCCTCGGTGATTCGTGACCAAGCCGATTTCCGTTTGCATATAGAAATCGGATCCGATTTCCTACTCTGAACCACCGCGTGCTTGTTTATCAGCGATATCAAGATCTTTCGCTCCTCGAAGCTGTACGTCTTGCGGGTGCCTTTCAGAGATACGGATGCCATTTTATACCAGAGGCACACGAGCGTTCGATTGTTTCGCTCCGCTCTTGGGACGTTCTCCTTATATTAATATTAAGCCTAATTCAGATCGGCCTTCCATAGTATCTAAAACTTCCTGTCGAACTTTTGGTTTCGCTCCGGTTGGAGTTCAAAGCGAACGTCAATAATCACATTTTTTATTTTGGCACTGCCATACATATTCTTGAATACAACACGCATGTACTGTAAAAAATAATTTAAATTTAAAAAATGACAAAAAGTCTCAAAATGCTATTATACATATAATATAATAGCTAACAAGAAAGATGAAGCCCTAGTTGGGCGACACTCGACGAGAAGCACAAGGTTCTGAGGAGCGACATACGGCATTGGACGCGAATGTCGAGAAATACGTTTATTTTTACGATGCTAGCTGTTTTTTTAATGCGAGACATGGTTTCTCAGATGTAATTAGACGGTAAAAAATTTTAAAATGCAGCTGCATAATGCTAGACAGTGAGAAAAAGGTAGCTGCGAATGCCGACGAAAGGCGCTGGACGACAAATTCGGAGCTCCGAAATATCACACGCGACACCAAATAAATCTCGAAAAATACGTTTATTTTAATATTGTTATGTGTCCTTTAATACGAAGCATACTCTCTCGAACAATATTAGACGATAAAGAA